CTATTGTGCAGCTTTATTTCTATTATTATTACATTGTAATATACAATGAAGTAATTATACAACTCACCATAATGCAGAATCAGTGGGAGCCCTGAGCCTGTTTTCCTGACACTAGATGGTCCCATCTGGAGGTGATGGGAGACAGGGACACCCAAAGTGTGTTGCTTATGCCCAATCTACTCCGTAATCTCTTTTTGGTTGCTGTCACTGCAGAAAACCCTGCTTCACAAAGATAGGTTGTTGGAAATGGAAGCAGGGTTTTCAGTGTTTTTGTGGCCATCTCAGGATATTCCGCCTTGACTTTAATCCAGAATGTATGGAGATTTGAAGTTGTCTCAAACATACTTTTGAGGCCACCCTCATTTGTGACCTCAAGCAGCTGATCCTCTCCTAGCACGCACAAAGTCAATTCACCTGGCTTATTCACAAATGGTTCGCGGATCTATTCCTTCCCAGTTCGGGGGTCTTCTGTGGTTGGGAAGTAATGCTCAAACTCTTGTGAAAGGTGAGATAGGTGATCATGCACCAGCTGGGAGAAAGAAGGCCCTGGCTCAGTCTCTTTCAAAATCTCTGCTAATGTATGAAACATGTCAAAAATCCCAAAGTGCACTCGTTGCCCCCATAATTCCAGTTAGGCTTTGAGTGCAGCCACTTTATCTGCTGACTTGAACACAGTTGTCATTCTCCCCTGAAGTGACAGATTGAGTTTGTTGAGGAGGTTGAATATGTCACACAGGTAAGCAAGTTTTGCGACGCATTCTGTGTCACTGAAATGTGCCGCCAGTGGTGACTGTTTTTCTAAAAGAAATCTCTGGAGCGGCTCTCGTAACTCAGAAACTCTGGCCAGCGATCTACCTTCAGAAAGCCATCTCACTTCTGTGTATAAGAGAAGATGTGTGTGCTCTGCGTCCATCTCCTCACAGAGCTGCATGAACAGACGTGAGTTAAGGGCACGTACTTTAATGTGGTTGATAATTTTAATCACATTCTGCAAAACATTGTTAACTTCAGGTGACATTTTTTGGCTAGCCAGCATTTCTCTGTGGATGACACTGTGCGTAGACTCACATTCAGAAGTGACCTCTTTGACCCGAGCAGTAAAACCAGAAAGCTGTCCAGTCATGGCAGCCACTCTGTCCGTGCATATACCAACACAAAATGACCAATTCAGTTTTCCTGATATGTAATCATTCAAAGACATAGTTCTGCAGCTGTGGTGTTGGTTGGCAACAAAAGTGCACATAACATATCTTCATGCACATCCTCCTGAAAAATATGTCACATAAAAACAAGCATTGTTGCCTTGTTGTCAACATTAGTAGACTTGTCAACCTGGACTGCATACCATGGTGACTCATTAATCCTCTCTAACTATTGTGCTTCAATATCCTCTGCTATTTCATCAATTCATCTAGTTATGGTGCTAGCCAAAAGAGGAACATGTGTCACCTTTTGAAATGCAGCCTCTCCTGAAAGTTCACGACAAATGTCCTCAGCAGCAGGCAGGATCAACTCTTCACCAATAGTAAAGGGCTTCTTAGCTTTACCAATGCAGTTAGCCACTAAGAATGGTGCTCTCAGAGCAGACACATTTGTTGAAGTGGTGGCCTTCAATAATTGCTTCTGTTCTTCGTGTTCACATTTTTTTTTTCCTTTGAAAAATTCCAAAGGCTTGTCTTTTGATGCAGGGTGCTTGGTCTCCATGTGGCGAAGCAGTTTTGAAGGTTTCATGGCTTTGCTGGATAGCCAGTCACCACATATTATACAAAGCGGGCTTGGAGAATGTGAATCACCTGTTGCAATGAACCCATAATTTAAGGACTCTTGGTTATTTTCTTTTAAATGCAGCTTTCTTTTTGTTGGCAGTCTTAGGCTCTTCTGCTGTCTCCTCATTAGGTCTCTCCCCCTTTTCAAAGAAGCTCTCCAGTGATGTTTGTTTTTTACTCATTTTGGCTAGGGTTAGCTTGTGGGCTTACGTGTGACTGAGACAAGTGCGCAATGTGGCAAAGAGGCGCAGATGGAAGTGGTAAATAAAATAATGGGCAGGCCACACACAGACTAAAATAAGTATCAGATTCAACTTCAAGCCTGCCACCAGATACAGCTGAAGTACATCAACTCACTTGCCACTATAAAGCCTGCTACCAGATGCAGCTTAATTGTCACTTGCCACTCACTGATAGGGTTTTGATGTAAGTCTGCAAGCAACTGATTTATTATGGTCTCTGTGCAGTCAAACCTCTCTGTTAATGATAATCTGTATTTGCAGCCGCTCCCCAGTACTAGCATCACCGCCTCAGCTCCACCTCAGATCATCAGGCATTAGATTCTCATAAGGAGCGCGCAGCCTAGATCCCTCACATGTGCAGTTCACAGAAGGGTTTGCGCTCCTATGGAATCTAATGCCGTCGCTGAGGCAGTATGCGAGCAATGGGGAGTGGCTGTAAATACAGATGAAGCTTCGCTCGGTTGCCCACTGTTCACCTCCTGCTGTATGGACTGGTTCCTAACAGGCCATGGACCAGTGACGGTTCATGGCCTGGGGGTTGGGGACCCCTGATCTAAGAGAAAGGGGAGGAGAGAAATGAAATTGGAGAAAATATCTGTGGATTAAAAAAATTCTTCTATGCATAGGACAGAAGAGGATTTTCTCCATAAAATTTTCAGAAATAGCTCCTTTAGATACACTTAAAAAAAAATTCTTACTTAAAACAAACTGTTCTGCTATTATTTAAAAAAAAAAAAAAACAGGCTTTACTTGGGGTACTTTAATAGCCATAATGCTAATATAAAACTGAAGCAAAAATTGTGCATGCACCTCTTATTATCTAAATGTGAGTATGTGGCCTTATACAAAATTAGATTCATTTTAAATAAAAAATTCAGTACTACATAATTACATGTACTATGAGCTATAAACTTGAAAACTTCATTATATTAAAGGAGCAACTAATATTCCTTCAGACTCACTTAGAAAAAAAGGAAAGAAAACAAAAAGACAGAAAACTATCTTTTATAAACAAATGGAAAATGTTAAAACATTCTGAGTTTTATAACAAATAAATTTGTTAAGGACCCCAGAGCACTTAAGTACACTGTGAAGAAAATGCTAACTTCTAGACCTAATATGACACAGGCAGCTCCCAAGGGAAGATGGAAGGAGCTAAAGCTACCACCCTCATTTCTTAGTATAATCAATTAAGCTTTTTGCATCTAATCAAACCCAACTATACTCTCACACAACAGTATTATCTTCTGGTGGTTTTAATACAAAACATTTCATATCTGGGACTTGGTAAATATTCAAATTATCAAGTTCATTTTCCTTCTATCCCCTATCTCTGCCACCTACTAATTCCCTTTCCAAAAAACTTACTTAAACATTAAAAACCACTGTATTAGTTTCCTAGGGCTGCTGTAACAAAATTACCAAACTTGGTGGCTTACAACAACCGAAATTTATTCTCTCATAGTTCTGGAGGCCAGAAGTCCAAAATTAAGATGATGGCAGGGTTGGTTCCTCCTGGAGGCTCTGAGGAAGAATCCCCTAGCTTCTGATGGCTGCCAGCAATCCTTTTTCTTCCTTGACTTGCAAATGCATCTCTCCAATCTCTGCTGTCTTTGTCTTCACAAGACCTTCTTCTCTTTGTTTTTTCTCTTTTTTGAATCTTCTCCTCTTCTTATAAAGATACTTGTCATTGAATCTGAGGTTCATTCAGACAATCCAGGATGAAATCATCTCAAGATCCTTAAGTTAATTACATCTGCGAAGACCCCTTTTCCAAATAAGGTCACATTCGTAAGTTCCAGATTGACATATCTCTCAGGGGGCCCACCATTCAACTACAGTCACTATCTTTCTAGGCTCAGTCATATCCTAATTATGAATAAATGCTTACTTCTTTAAAAGAATTTCAGAAACATGTCATATCATCCTTTTTCTAAACCTTGTATTATTTCACATATTTTTATCTGATAATTCTTTTCAATTGGGTCTATTTTCTTATAAATCCTTTTAGGGTTTTCATGAGTCACTGTGAAAAAGATTGGCATGGTAAAACAGGTAGATAGTAAATGCTTTTACCTACAAGAATATTATTTTTGCGGATTACCAAAGTAGAAAACTCAGTGAGTCTTATATATTGATCTGGGTAGTCTTCAGTTTCACTGAATTATGTTTTTATCTCTACCTATACACCTTAACCAGGATAAATATTCTTATAATGATAAGGTTAAACATATACTTTTAACTTAGGAAGTATTCAAACACTGCCTTTAATTTTTACATTATTACTGTTATTTCATTCATAAACTAATGTTATCAATGTGCACATCCTTAGGTGAAGTCAACTTTTTGAAAGAATGACTTCACAGAATGAGAATGTCTCCAAATTCTCTGCATCAGATGAAAGAACAAAAATGTCAGATTTATCTGGTGATGCAGATTTCATTATCAATGGTGGAAAAGTACTTTCTTAAATGAGTCTTCCAACAGAAGCTGCTCACCTTTTTTGTAGTAACAGAAGAAACAACACTTCCTCAGCTCAAAATTCAGGCTACCCACCAACCCTAACCTTTGTCCAGCTGCAGAGAAACACAGTAAGCTGGCAGGAAGCCTGGGAAGCCCTGCCCCCTCCTCCACTGGGGTCTGACTGTGTGTATAAAGCTCTCTGAGGACGCACACATTTACATACTGACATAAAAGTTTCAAAATATCGGTGTTATCCTTCAAGAATAATGTGACTGATGCAATAATTTTAAAGTTCAGAAATCTAACAGAAAAGCACAGGACACAGCACAAAAAGAGAGCAACAGGCAACAGGTCTGCAATCTTCACACCTACGGAAGCTAAAGAATGCATTCTGAATAAGGACTCTGCTACAGAAGCAAACAACACAGCATTAGTCTCTTTACCCAAAATGTTGCCTTTTCAACTAACACCTTTTTGCCTTATGCTCTGTTTTGAGGAACAAATCAAGATGGGCGTGAACAATCCATACCTCCACCAGGAATAATTGCCAACTTTGTTTCAACCAGGCCCATTTTTGCAGAAGAAGCTAAAAAGGAAAGAAGAAAACTAAGTAACATCCACATCATCAAATTCAAATATGATGACCTGAAAAAGTTAGGAAAATAAGCTACAAATATTGTTTACTAATTAAATTTGTGTCACAAATCTTTTTAAAAATCACTTCAGAAGGCATTTAGTTATGGAAATAAGTAAACATTCTAAATGACATATATTAAGAGATTCACACAACATTTTCTGTTAAAAACTGCTTGGCAGAGAATTAATTTTTGATGCAGAAAGACCAGGGTTGTGACTACATAATTTGACCTGATACTGCCAAGTCATGTTTGAAGGCTTAGATCTCATTAATTATTCAGGATGAGGAGAGAGGCTGTGTCTGACAAGTATGAATTCTTTAGCTGCCTGAACAGCCCTCCAGATCAAACAGCTTAATATATCATATCAGATATGGCAACTTTTCAAGACCAAATCTCTAGTTACTTTTGACAAATGGCTTTGCTGTTCTGACAGCTGGACAGGGTTCCTCTTTCCATGTTTGTTTTCACGGCTACTTTAAAACATATTAATTATTTCTTTATTTGCATATCCAAATGTTCTTGGACTACTTCCCATATCCTGATTCCCAGAACTTGCATTCTTTCAAAAATGGATTGCGTGTAACTTGGCTTTTCAGTTTAAAACCCAAAAATCTCAGTCAAGAAAACAGAGATCTAAAATAAAGCGAAATGGGGGAAAAGTACACATGGATTAGCAAATGCAAATTCCAAGAGCCAGTTACCATAAAATTAGTAAAAACATAATTATATTGACTCTACATTTAACAGGCAGCTCCAACAGAAGAGACAGTGGGAACCAGGGGAAGAACCATGACAAATACTTGCTGCCTACCTCGCCCAGTCCTTGATCCCAGAGCCCCTGTATGTCACCCCTATGAGGGACAAGGATACAGACAGCACTGTGACCATACAGAAGATAGTGTTGAGGACAGCACTGGCAGCATGCAGTACGCTGGCAGGATAACAGAAGTGAGAGCCGTGACGCCAGACTGCCTGGGTTCAAATCCAGCTTATCACTGATCTGGGTCTTGTTTCTTCACCTGTCTCTGCACTAGCTTCCTCAAGCACCACAGTATGTACCTATCTCACAGGGATGTTAGGCAGATTAAGTGAGCTAATATGTGTCAAGTATTAGCTGAACACCAAGTCAATACTCAGCACATGGTTAGCACTAATTGTTTCCTTCATTATTTTCATAAACACTTCATCCAGTCTTCAGAAAACCATGCAGGAAGAAAGTGTGCCTCAAAGAGATTAAGTTATTACTACTATAGCTAACAATAATTATGTGCTTAGACTAGTCACATGCTGCACACAAACTCATTTAATCTTCACAACAGTAACCGTCATTTCTCCCATTTCAGAGGAGGAAACTGATCTAAAAAGGGCAGGACCTAAGATCCAAATTCAGTCTGTCTGACCCAATTCCTGTTCTCCTTTCCTCCTGCTAAGACTGAACAAGATACTACAAAAGACTGTTTTCTTAACTGGGAATTTTAAATACTTCATTAAGCCCAGGAGGTGATTTTTTCTACATGTTCTATTCAACAACAGGAAAAAAATAAAATATTTGGAACAATCTGAAGAGTAGGCACAAACCTCATTTTTAAAAAGTTATGTTTTTATATAGGATTAATTCTCACCTGCTACTCTTATATCACATGCTAAAGCCAGTTCAAGTCCACCACCTAAAGCGAGTCCATCTATTGCTGCAATGGTTGGCACTGGAAGATTAGCTGAAATAAAAAGAAAGATTTTATGCTCCTTCAGTAAGAGTGTTACCTTACTATGCAATTTATTTTACATTTTTTTCTGTGAATATAATTTTAAACGAAATATCGTCTATAGACTTTTATATCCCTTTTACTTTTAACTAAATAAGCATTTCATTCTTCGTTATTCTAGAAAATGTAATGATTGTATAGGGTTTCATCACATAAATATGCAGTAATATCTTTAAATCTTACCATATTATTGAAATACATTCATAAACATTTTCTGTTGAATTAAAAGAATCATAGTTCTGATTCTGTATTCTTCAAGCCTGAAGCCTTTTATGAGATGTCTGGTTCACACAAATTTCAAGTTCAAATGACTTAGGTATAATGCAAAATTCATGACCCTTTATAGGCTACCCTGGTACTCAGAATGATAGAGCCTCATTTAAAGAAGTAATACATCTACTCAAACAAGACAGAAGCAGTCCAAGTGGCTGCTGGGCGTCAACCCACTAGTTCTACCATTTGGCAATGAGTATGATGAACAGTAGCTAGAAAGTGATCAGGCTCTATCAAATACCACACACTTCAGATGGAAGAGATACTGAGAACCTGCCCAAAGGCATGACTGGGAAGGGGTCAGCCAATCACAGAACTCAAAGCCAGATTTTCTTTAGTCCAGAAACACTATTATTTTAATGAAACTTCTGTAAATATACAGATTTCATTTTTTACAAGTAGTTCCAAAACTAACTGGTTAATTATTCCGTGAAGCAGAATCCTTTCTATAAATTTTATTTTGACTATGGGAATGTGAAGTAGGCTGAACAAGCTTAACATATGAATAAAATGTGGATATTAAAAAGGTACCATCTCCTAATTTGTTCTCACCACAAAAAAGAAATAATAATTGTGTGACATGATGGAGGTGTTAGCTAATGCTACAGTGGTAATCATATTACAATATGTAAATACATCAAATCAACACATTCACCTTAAACTTACACAAGTTATATGCCAATTATATATCAATTTAAAATAAATAAATATATAAAATAAAAATGAATAAAAATAAAATTTAAAAATACCATCTCTAGAAGTCTCTCTTCCATAGGTATTCTGATATGTGAAATTCCTCAGATAGAGAGCTTTATTCAAATTTGTTGAAGTACACTGAGTTTTCTTCATACATGAAGAAATTTATTAAATTTATTCTAAGAGCAAAGCTGAAATGGCTGAGATAGAGCACATATAGATGCTGCCACCTGAGGCAAAAGCACTACTGATAGAGCAGGGATGAACGGGGCTTGGGAACAGGGCATATTTCACTATTTGCACCTGTCTGAGCATTTTGCAGGGAGGTGGAAGCTTGAAAGGACAGGACAAATTCAAAGGTGCTCCACACAATGTGCTTTACAGCACACCTGGTAAAAAAATGAACAGACAGCTATGTCAGTGTTTACAGTCAGGAAATGAGTTTAATGAAAAAATAAAATCTAGTTATTTTATCTGACAAAAAAGAAAAATTAATAAAGTAATATAATGGCAAATTAATCCAACTGGCTCCCAAGGTCACCTCAAGCCACTACAAGTACAATGGAATTACTGTTACACAGCTCCCAATTCTCCTTCCTTTCTACAAAGCTAGCTATAGAAATTATCATATTTCTAGACTCCTTCAATCTGCTACCTCCCCATTCTCAAGTCTCTCCCATCAAAATTTTTCCCTAGGCCTCACTATGGCCTTGGCTCACCTCCATCTAAGACAAGCATCTAGAGGGAACAGAGTAAACGCATTTCATCACTCCCACTCATCTCCACCTCACAGCTCTAGTCCCACTCATCTCACCGAGACCGTTCTTGCTCCGCTTACCAGTGACACTATGATATTGTCCCATAACCAATGGGCACCAGTCCCTATTAAACTCGTTGCCTCTGAATATCAGAGACATAAATCCTGAACACTCCTCCTCCTTGAATTCCTCTCTTCATTTGCCTTCTGGATTCCTCCCGCTCATTTTTCCTGCCTTTCTTTCTGCCTCTGGTTATATCTCAGCCTTCTTCCTCTCTAAATAGAAGCTCTGCCCAGTAGGTCTCTTTCCTATCCTTAACTTTTCCCATCCGTAATACCAATGATATACAAATCACCACTTCAAACCCAAACTTCTCTCTAAACTGTATCTCTACAGTTACCTGTCTGTTGGACATCTCCACTTAAATACTTTATCATGTTCAAATCAACTTCCTGTCAATCCTTCTTCTAGATTCTATCTCACATTCACCAAGCATCTCCATTCACCAAGTTACTCAAGACAGAAACCCAGAAGTCATTCCAGATGTCCTCTTTTCCAATGATCTTACATCTAATTGTTTTCTAAGTCCTGTCTAACAGGTCACAATTTGGCAAATCTCCCTCCCTTTCATACAGCCAAAGTTCTGGGCCCCCTCATTTTGCACCAGCAGGAGATCTCTAATTGACCTCCTTCACCTGCAATGTGCCCCTTCCAATGCAACTTCCATATTTCTTGCAGGATAATCTTTCTAAAGTGCAAACAGGGTCATGCTCTTCCCCTACTTAAAACAGTACAATGATTTATTCCACATTCAGGGTAAAATTTGTGAAAATTTTAGCATGGCACAGGAGGCACCTGATGAACTAAGTCTGCCCACCTGCCCAACCCCTTCTCCAACCTCACACACCTACTCTGTGTTCCAGCCCCAAATTACTTAAAGCACCTTCAGAAGTCATTTGCATCCAAACCTGTGTACAAGCTGCCCTCTGCCTGGAACGCCTAGCTAGTCCCTAATTATCTTTCAAGGCAATGCTCAAAAGCCCCTTGCTTTACGCTTCCATGGCACTCTGTACACACTTTTCCAGGAGAGCATTCACATTCACCTTCTGAATGGACAGTTCCATTCAGAAGTAAAGATTAACATCACATCAATGCTGGTCAATAACATCCTTCCTACCACTCTGGAACAAACCGCAAGATTTTTCATTGCCTCTTCTAACTCCATTAATTCTGGTATTCTCTCTACTCTTCTTCTTGTTATTAACTTCTTTCATTTAATACTTTAATGGAACAACATGAATATATGCAGCCCTATGGAGCTACAGAAAAGAAAAACTGCAGAGTTCCTAAGATGGAGAGAGCAACAGGAAGAGTGGGGTATTCTCTCCTTGCTGTGTGAAAATGCTGGTCAACAGTGAGTGTCTTCAGCACTCACTAAATATCTGCTGGAAGCTGACGTATCAGAAAACAAATTAACAAAAATGAGTTTAAAGGCTTCCAAAATCAAACCCAAGCCTGAAATATGTGTACCACCAAGTTCCAATTTCTAAAAATTTCAACTCATGGTAAATAGGAGTTATTTCATATTCCTTAGATTTTTTTCCCCTAAAAATAGCAACAAATTGATATGATATATATGGAAAAGAATTTTTCTTCACATCAAACTGTGCATTGAAAATGTAGACTAAATAGAAGGGTAAAAGGAATAAAATGAATGTAAATTACAAAAGAAATACTCTATCACTTCATAATTTCTAAAGCATAATGGAAAGAACACAGGAAAAATTCCTGGTCAACTGTAATGTTCTTAATACTGCAACACAACGATTGCCTCAAAAAGACATAAAGCTGGGCTTCCCTGGTGGATCAGTGGTTGAGAGTCCGCCTGCCAATGCAGGGGACACGGGTTCGTGCCCCAGTCCGGGAAGATCCCACATGCCGCGGAGCGGCTGGGCCCGTGAGCCAAGGCCACTGAGCTTGCGTGTCCGGAGCCTGTGCTCCGCAACGGGAAAGGCCACAACAGTGAGAGGCCCACATACCGCAAAAAAAAAAAAAAAAAAAAAAAAAAGACATAAAGCTTTGCTCTACATTTTTATTAGTTAATACTCTCAAATAAATATTACACTTAAAAATCACACTTAGCCAATAGAAAGTTAAAAAGCACCATTTTTTCAGAAGTATAAAATGTCACTAAAAGAAAAAAAGTAAAAACACAAATGAAATTAATGTATATATACCCTTTCCCTTCATTGTGAGAAGTCTATAACAAACATTACTTTGACAAAATAAAATGATGGGGGAAGGGGCATGTTCAACAGACAGGTTTCAGGTTCTACATGACTTGAAGTATGAGGATGGAGTTTATATAATGCAGTGGTAGGAAAGGAGAAGAAATAAACAAATGCAAACATGCTGACCTGGGAGATGAGGGCACTGGTGGGAAGGGGCTAAAATGAATCATCTCGTGCTAAAGTTTTTCTTAATTCTGAAGTTAGAAAACAATACTTTTCTGCTATATGCTTTACTTTCTGGAAGTAAAGAAAATTATTTTTTAAATGTGACAGTTAAGAACTTAAGGTATTTTCTCAAGGAGATAAAAGTTTTTAACATTGCAACTTATATAAAAATATATAATAAAAATGACAAGAAATGTGGGGTCCTTATATTACAAAGAACACAGAAAATAGGGTATTAATACTCTCAAATCATTAAATAGGTAAACTACTTGGTACTTTTGAATATTAACATAAATTATCATTCTGTAAAGCTGACTATAAAATTTTTCCTACTAAAAGAATTATTTAAATAGAACTGAATTAGCATTCAATGAGTAATTAAATTTCAATCATTTTATAATATTATAAGTCCTGAAGTTCTATATCATCCTAATTTTTCCCTGAAAGATGTTTTTCTTGTAAACATTTTTCAGGAAAATGTAAGTGACCTCAAAGTACATGCTAGTTTCATAGTTACCTAATATGCTTGTTTTTATACATAGTGTTTCTTCTACTTGGGAGCAGTTAATAATCTTAGAGAAAACTCAATAAAACAAACATCTGAAAGGCAGATTATCAGTTTCAAAGAACCAAGAAATATCAAATTGGCAGTTGTATCAGAGTGAGACTGAATGAAACGGGAACCGCCACGAGCAGTGGCTATTCCCAACAGCAATAGGAAGAAATGATGACTCAATGTGTTATGCAACCAACAGGATTAGATACTATT